ACGTTAAGGACAGGCATTTTCCTTTGCACTGTCTCGCACCTTGGACAGTCGAAGACCACATGCTCCGACGTTTCATCCACCTTGTCACACTCCGGACAGAGGGGTGACGCTTAGTGTCCGAACCGATGTAGGTATTTCCTAAAACAGCCGTGGCCAGATAGGAACTGCACCCGGTGGTGCTTTACTTCTCCTAATCAATCTCTATCCCATATCTGTCTCGTAGACCAGAACCAGGCTCTGGAAGTAACTCCTCAGAATCCTGTACAGGTAGTCAGGGACCCTCATTCTATGCAGCGCTTTGGCAATGGCTTTTCAGCTGCGCTGTTGAACGCATTCTTGACGTCGATCGTTATCACAGTGCAATATAGATCTCCTCTTCGGTTCTGTTTGTCCATTGTCCGAATTGCATCCACGGTTGATCTCCCTTTCCGGAATCCAAACTGCCTCTCCGACAATCCAAAACAAAAGCTGATAGGGCTGATTAGGTTGAAGCATTGTCCCTTTAAATTGACGATGTTATTTATCTCCGTTGAATTCGAGAATTTGCGATGACGAAATCTCTTGAAAATTGAAAGTCAATCAAAACTTTATGACCAATTCAATGAAATATGTAATGCTCTTTTTTATTTTCTAAGAATAAATGTTGCTGACAATGAAGCAATGTTTTTTTACAAATGCAAAAAACAGGTTTTCTGTTATAAAAAGGATATTTCCAGCAAACAGCAATTCAAAACTATTAATTCCTAATAGTAGTATATTATATTAATGTAAATGAATTAAAATGTTAAAGGTAAAGGGTGATACGGTCAAAATTTGGTCAAGGGAAAACGCGTGTAAATCGGTGAAATCGTTTATTTAAAAAATCAAATTAAATTTGTTTTTCAACTTCAATTAGTATAAAATTCAGGAAAAATATTCAGTTAGGCTTCCGCTTTTCCAAATCCGAATTGCCGGGCCTTACGCTTGACCCCTGCCATCAGATTTTGTACAGCCACCTTGTCCTCCTTCTTCGCCGCAGAAAGCCAGTTTGCCTTGAACTGCTGCTCGCCCTTAGCAGTTTTTTTGGTCTTCTTTAGGTTCCGCTTGACAATAGCCCAGTATTTCTCAATTGGGCGGAGCTCTGGCGTGTTGGGAGGGTTCTTGTCCTTGGGAACCACCTGCACGTTGTTGGCGGCGTACCACTCCATGGCCTTTTTACCGTAATGGCAAGATGCCAAATCCGGCCAAAACAGTACGGAACAACCGTGTTTCTTCAGGAAAGGCAGCAGACGTTTATTCAAACACTCTTTCACGTAAATTTCTTGGTTGACAGTCCCGGAAGCTATGAAAATGCTGCTTTTCAAGCCACAGGTACAGATGGCTTGCCAAACCAGATATTTCTTTGCGAACTTTGACAGTTTCATGTGCTTGAAAACATCTGCTACCTTTCCCCTTCCTTTTGCCGTATAAAACTCCTGTCCCGGAAGCTGCTTGTAGTCGGCTTTGACGTAGGTTTCGTCGTCCATTACCACGCAGTCAAACTTCGTCAGCATCGTCGTGTACAGCCTCCGGGATCGCGCTTTGGCCGTCGTATTTTGTTTATCATCGTGATTTGGAGTCACTACCTTCTTGTAAGTCGATAGTCCGGCTCGTTTTTTGGCTCGATGCACGGTTGTAGACGATACACCCAGCTTATTTGCGGCATCTCGGAGAGAGAGGTTAGGGTTTCGCTTGAAACTACCGGCAACTCTCTTTGTCGTCTCAGCGGCTTCCGGTTTTCGATTTCCCCCCGATCCAGACTTCCTGGCTGTCGACAAACGTTCCCCAAACACTTTAATTACATTTGTAACGGTTGATTTGGCAACTTTTAGCGATTTTGCCAACTTTGCGTGCGAGTAGCTCGGATTTTCGCGATGCGCGAGCAAAATTTTGATACGCTGCTCTTCTTGCTTGGACGGCATTTTGACAACTGAAGAGTGAATTCCAAAATCAAAATAGGAGCAACATTCTACACACACACACCTTCAAAATGAGGGGTGATCAGGTTTTTTAAATGCAAAATTGAAAGAAATACGTCAAGTTGATATTGACCAAATTTTGACCGTATAACCCTTTACATTGGATGAAAGACCTGTGATATTTGAATGAAAAAGCACTTAAAATCGTCAATTGTTAATTTTACCCCGTATGCTCATTTTTCCCCCGTTTCCCCTAACATTCACATTACAGCGAAGTGTAAGAATAACAATTACACTGGAGTCGCTTTTTACGCGGGTAATATGTCCCGCGTAAAAAACCGCGTAAAAAACCGCGTAAAAAAGACCGTGTAAAAAAAAACGCGTAAAAAGCGACTCTAGTGTATAAAGATAAACCGCGTAAATTCTGAAATCCGCGTAAAAAAAAATCCGAAATGCGCGTTAAAAAAACCGCGTAAATTTTGAAATCCGCGTAAAAAAAAACCGTGTAAAGAAAACCGCGTAAAAAGCGACTCCAGTGTATTCATAGCGTAGAGCTTGAGAATCCATGTTTGAAAACTCAAAAATTTATTGAAATCTGTAGGCTGACAAAATCGGGAAAAAAAGCTGACAAAATCGGGGTAGACAAAATCACTGTATATTTGAAGCTTCCTGACATATTTTTCTGAAGCTTTCGATGCTTCCCTGAAGTTATTGGATCTGCCCTAAATATTTCTGAATTGAATAAAGCTCTCTAAACTTCTCTGAATTTCTTAGAACTTTTGAAAATTCCCGCATTTTTCCTGAAGTAAATTGAACATCCTTGAACTTATTTTTCCTTGAAGTTTTCGAGTTAAACGTTCTCTAACATCCCTCAACCTTTCTGAATTTCTCGCACTTGCATGAAGTTTTCGTTTCTTCATGAAGTTTCCTAAATATTCAAGACGTTCTCGAAACTTCTGTATCGTTCTATCAATTTTCCTGATTTTCATGAACTGCCCTGAAGCCTACATTTTCCTATTTTTTTTTTTTTGGAAAATTCCTAAATCGGTATTCTGAGGAACCTTAATATCAGTAGATCGGTATCAAGTTCGAAAATCAGTATATCTGGCAACGCTGAACGTAGGTGTCAGCAGTGCTTGTGCATTAAGGGAGAATGATAGCCAATTCCAAGCAGCCATCTGTTGGTTAGTTTTGCAAGTACAGATCTGGCAAACATAGCAGCAACTACAGGTGGTCAATCACGCTCAAGTTTCAGAATTCACAAAACATTCTGAACCATCCGAAATGTTCAGGAATTATTTCATTTTTTTTTTCAAAATACGACATCATGTATTTTCTGTTCAGTTATAGACATAATCTAGCAAGGCGTTATTCTTGCAATGTTTCGATCCGGAATTTAAATCATTCTCAGGTTTAAAGTAGTTACCGATTTTATCCACAAGTTTCACGAATTTCGGTAAAATAAATCAAAACTTAACTTTTGTCTTTATCTCTATTTTCAACTTGAAAAGCCAGCAAAATTAAGTCATCAAACTCGTTAACAAATCTCAATAAACCTTTACCAAGCACGTCACTTCTCTGTCGAACTTCCTTTCCAAGAAATTTAAAAGTAATCACAACTAAACATTACACGCGGTAAAAAGTTTTGCTGTGCACTCGGTGGTGCGCAAGAGGGAAAGAAAATTATAATGTTATTATAGAAAAGAGAACAAAAAAGTGAATCCCCGGTAAAGCACTCATACCCACCATCGGAGGAGCTGAGATATAATTGAGCTTTCAATTACCCCGAAGCTCGACGACGGAAGCCGGGGACTACAGTGAGCAAGACACGAAGAAGACTCCATGATAGAGGTAGCCTTGGAAAATACGACTTGAGCTAGATTCTCCTTCCACATCCACACAGATACACAGCAGTCAACCTTCTTCTTGACACGAGCGAGACTATGAATGAACTCGAATGTTTTGCATTGAGAACAACAAGATCATACAGCGGGGATGCGTGGGCGATTGCAACGTGTGCGTACGACTGCGATTTTCTGATCATCTGTTGTGGCGGAATGTCATTTCAAACACGCCGTAAACTAATTGAGATTCACTGGAAAGCCAGCGATCGTACTACTTGATACGGACTGGAGCAACATTTCAAGAGTGGTTTCTTTGTCGTCGAAGATGATCGTACAATTTCAATGTGTGTCGCGGACTCCCTCGCTCCATTAATCATCCGAGGGGGGGTGCTTTATTGGACATGGTGTCGGACCACCTCCGCAGCTCCGAGCAATAATCAAAACAAATCATTTCTGTCCAAAAGGTGGATATGGGAATCGGTTACACGCGCGCTTATTCACACACATACACCCTCTTCTGAGGCGCAGGCTTATGTGTCCTTACCGTCTGTCAGCGACATAAACTGGGCAAATTTACGACCTCGATCGCGATAAATTTTGCACACCTACCCCCAATATCTACCTATTCGGAAAGACTTCCTCTTCTCAGCGGTCATCGAAAGTGGGAATAACGTCCGCTTCGGTACTGCGTCGTTTGTTTTGTGTTAAATTCGAGTGGAGTTTCTGGAATAATTTTTAATCCATTGTTGAACAAATTTCAACGAATTACCAACGAACTCCTGGAGCTCCTTCTGATGGAATTGCATTTCTCGCCACTTATTAGGACGTTCTCCTTTAACATGGCTTGATGTTGCAATGTTGAACAGTCTAAGTTAAAAAATGCCCCTTATCTCAACCACTTCAAAATACCAGCACAAGATGAGTTCATAGATCACCTCAAGGCTTAACCAATTTAGCTACCGCCGATAATTTAGTCAAATTAGCACTCATAAATTTCACTATCAACAGAACATTTTTCCTACCATGATCCAAACAAATTCAGTGGCTCGCTTCTCTGAAAATCAACGAAAACTTGACTCGTAAAAATAGCGAAAACAGTGGGCGTCCGTTCATCGCAATCATCACCACCAAAAACGGAAACGGCTGCGCCTTGATTAAAAGACTTCCAACATGAAATGTGACAAATCTTGTTAGCTATCAGTTTTTTTTTGCTTCTCAGAACAATACCTTAACGACGAACCGAAAATAATCAAAGTACCAAAAATCCAAAATGGTTTGAAGTTGCTAGAAGAGAACGCGCAACATAAGCACTGCGACGAATGTCAAATGACGGCCGTCGTCATCGTCGTCTGACATTCGAGGGTGGGGGAGTGTGAATTGGTTCGGTTGACTGATTTGAATATATGCAAATTTAGCGTCGCGGTCGCGGCCATCACAGGAATCACCGGAGGAGAATCGCAGCAGCAACTTGATCAGTTAGTGAGTGAGCGAATTAAAGCAAAGTTTACCAACCAGCAAAGTAAAGTTGACGGGTAAATAAACCAACAAACACAACTTCTTTGGAGAACGTCGTCGTGGTCGTCGGGTTTGTGTGCTATCGCACAAAATATGAGAAGAAAATCTCCGTGACAAGTTGATGACATAATCGGACGGAATTTCTTCCCGCACGTAAGTTCCGAAAAAGTCGTCAAGAGTACAGGAAAAGGAAGAGCGGGAAGCTGGTCGAACAAGTTTATTTTGGTGGTGCGGAGGATCAAACCGCGCGACATGGAAAGTGCAAGTGTAAATTCGTTGATCAAAATGATGCAATATACGAGTGGGAAAACGGCTGTTGTCAGAGTGGATAATTGATAAGCGACGCGAAGGTGCAGAAGCAGACGGAAAAGGATACAAACACGTAATCGGATTTAAATTCAACTTTTGTGGATCGGTTTGAGAAACGAGAAAATGTTCGCTCCAAGGAATTCATCGCCGCTGCACATCTACAACAGCGACGAGGTCGCAGCGTATCAGGTTTGTTGGTTTTGTTTTGACTCGATGCTTCATGTTGATTGATCTGGGCAGTTATGCAAATTGGACTTTTTATGTACTTCGTTATGCGAGTGCTGAAAAGTTGTTGGTCGATATTAAAACTGATAAGAATATAGCAAGCAAGTTTATAGGTGCCTCACTAAGTGGGGCCATCATTCATATGAATTTCTTATCGATTTACATAAAATTAAGTAAAATGACATAAAAGAATAAGTGAAATATTGTGGATATTTTGAATACAGCTCACGAGGGTTTCTCCTGGTGTTTATGCAGAATTAATTTTCTTATTTCAGGTTCCATGGTGTTTTCGGTGGGTATGGGAAACTTATTTGCAATCAGCTCGTAATACAACTACTGGAAATGTAATCGCCAACTAGAGTTGAATCCCCCTTAATATGCCAAATTCCTAATCACTGTTCAATATATCCATGCTTGTTTTACTGTCATGCATCGGGAAGCGATAATAACGAAACTCTTCGCTGCATTACACGATAACAGTCAATAGACGCCACTAAATTCAGCGTGAATATAAGTATCTGACTGATACAGACAGACAGAGTAATTTGGAACATGTAATTTGCTACAGTCAGATATTAAAAGTAAGGAAAGGCCATAGAGTTACTGCAATTTTCCAGATGACATAAAACAGCCCTGAAGATCCCGGAATTTTCCTAAAGCTCTCGGTTCTCGTAACTTTTCTTAAGATTCCAAAACTATTGTGAAGATGTTCTCTTGACTTTCCTGAAACTACACAGTTCGAAAAAAAAACATGTAAATTTACGCCTAATCTAGCGCACATAAAATTAACGCGCCATTAGCATAATATTACGCGTGTTTAGAAAATTACATGCTACTTTTTTGGAGTCACATAAAATTACAAACCATCATCGTGGAATTTTCCATGATCGTGTAATTTTACTCCTCTTAGTTTAGATTGTGAATTTTCGTTGCTATTTTCTGACTTGGGTACTCATGATGGTCTGCTTTAGTTAGAATTAAATTTTATCCCCAGACCTGGCTAACTTTGAAATCAACCCAAGCCGATATCACTCAAAATCAGCAGATCAGATATTCAGAAACTATTAATAAAGTTTAATCATATGAGAAGCATTCCACAATTAATTTTCACTAATAAGTAACTGTAACATTTTCTGCAGAAAATCTTGTTATAACTATTATGTAATTCGAACGAAAAAAAAACAAACAACTACACAGCAAAAAAATAATTTTGATATCACGTCAAAGTGGATGCACTACAATCATGTCCAAAATATGGTGTAATATTACTTGCTAAAAAGGACAAAATTATCATTAATACAATGCATGAACTAACATTACGCTGCTTTTACTGCATTTGTTTATTTATGTGGTCATAAAAATTACATGAAATTTTCGACATGATTGTAGTGCATCCACTTTGATGTGATATCAAAATTATTTTTTTGCTGTGTAATTATCACGTATTGCCAACCAAACATTACTATTACCATCAATTTACAAGATTTTAGAATTGAAATAAAGCAGATTGATTGATCATGAAACTAAAAATCAATCAAAACGCACAAGAAAATGGCAGACTCATTTTTCTGCTTCCTGACAGGTACTCTGAACACGTCCAGAAAGTTTACGCGAAAGTCGTGTAAATATATATGAGATGCCGTGGAGAATTAATTGCGCAGTGCAAAATTCAGATATAAGTAGTAGCATTTTACGCGATGTCGTGTAATTTGCAATGATGAGTGAGATACACTTTATGTGCACGATATATTGCAAAAAGTTACGCGAGCCTTTTTTCTGCTAGTTTTTAAATTACACTTACGTTAAAATTCATTATTTTTTGCTATGTATCTGGTCTTCATTGAAGATCAGTGAATTTTATTCAAGTTCTCAGCACTTATTAAAAGTTCTCCCAATTTTCCTGGAGTTAATGGAACTGCTTTGAACTTCTTTCAAAGTTGCAAAGATGCTCACGGCACTTCCCTTAAAATCGGTGAATCTGTGTACCCTGATCTTCTTTAGACTTGCCTAACGTTAACGTACTGGAATTCTAAGAACTTCCTGAAGTTTTAATAATCATCCTGTAGTTTCTAATGTTCTTGAATATTTTATGAAGCTCTTGGTGCTTCTCTGAACTGTATTGTACTGTCCTAATAATCTCTAAACTTCCTTTAAATTATATAAACTTATGTGAAGTTCCCACAAATTTTCTGAAGTTTCCTTAACACCTCTGAAGACTTCGTGAAAACCTTGGAACAATTCGAAATTTCCAACTATTATTCTTATATAAATGGAACAACTTCAATGATCCTCAATACCCCTGATTCTTGGTTCTAGCATTTTCCTGATGGTCATAAAACTTTCTTGAAGTCTCAGAGCTGTTCACATCTTTCCTGTTACCAAAATTTGCATGAAATTCTCTGAGCTTCCCCAAGTTTTCTAGAAATTATTTAACTTCCCTGGAGTTCTTTGGACTTGGACTTCCCTAAATTTCTAGGAATTTCTTTAAGGTTCCGGTTTCTAGGAACTTCGCTACGGTTTCTTTTAGGTCAATGTAGATCTTAGATTTCCACTACAGTTCTCAAAATTTTCCTAATTTTCAAAACCTGCAATATTTCTAGAGTATCGGAACATTCATTCAATTCTCGGAATATCTCATAATTCCCTGCGACTGGAAGTTACTGCCATTTTCCTTAAGTCAATAGAATCTATAAATCTATGAAAATCTATGTCCAATAAATTCTCATACACATTTTCATTGCGTTATTGTAGTATAACTGCGGCACATACAATGCTGTTGAATTTCCTTTAAGAACATTGCTTCATTTTCCCTCCCCTTGGCTAGTTTTTGCACCTTGTTGCTGGTGGGCAGGCTTAATTTCATGCTTTATAGTGGAGTGTTGGAGACGGTTGGTTTATGGCCGGCGTTGCTGGTTCATGCCGCGAAAGAATGGTGCCATGGGCAGGCGATAGGGATTACTAAGCTTCACTCTCTGATGAACCACTGCATGAGAAAACCAAAGATCTAGTCTAGCACTGATAGTATCACACTTGTTACTCCTTTGTTTGAGAGCCACGTCGTAGTACGCTTACGTATAGTCACTGACGTTGGGTGCGATACTGGCGGATTTTGCCGCAAATCACTCTTATTTTATTTACACAGATAGATTTATTTAGGGTTGCAAGGAAATTATACTATTGAAATATTTCAGAAAGTGCCCAACAGTGCTCCTTCTACTTGCGTGACAAGCTTTCATTGTTGTTTTCTTTGAGGAACTCAGGAAACAGCGTTAAACACCATTGCACATGGTATTGTAACTAATCTTATATGTGCTTCATTTTGATTTGGAATAAATGTTTGAACTATGGCTCGGGATTTCCACTGTGGCGTGCTTCTATTGTGACATACACACCTAGAAATAACGAATTTTACACGTGACGGAATCCATCTTTGACATAAAAGATGAGACGTAAACAAACATGTCATGTAATATTAAGTGCTCCGAGACTGAAAAGTTCGTTGTTCGACAAAATGTACGTTTGATTGAGCTATATTTTGCGTCTGTTATGACTTAAATTTATGTCAAAATTGACGCTCGTATATGTCACTCTCAGAACACCTAAATTTACATGATTTTTTCTAAGTGTGTACCTATACATATTTTTGTGGTGTGATCATAGTTGGAGCATATACCCTATATAGTTTAAAAATCAGCTAGGGAACTAACTTCAAATGAAGGATTTTAGTCACTTGAAAGGTGTCACCTGGGTCGAACTAAGATATAATAAATAGGTATAGGTCAAAATCAAAAGTACTTAAAACACGTTTAGTTTTAGATTACAAGCACAAGTGCAGGTACTTAATAAAGCATGGGTTATGATTGATTAGGTGAATTAGGGATTTCAATAATTTATTAAATTAGACTAATGAGATATCATAATCATCAAATGAACTTAAATAAGAAACTCCAGAAAGTCTACTAAGAAGATTAACAAAAGAATTAGGATGCGGGGGTCCGCTTAGGGAGACAACTAACCTTTAAAGTTGTTGAATAAATCTTCTTCTTTACTCTTGAACTTCAATAAGGAAACTCAAGCAGACCAATAGCATTAAGCAGATTAACAAGGAGAGGAATAGTTTAGGAAATAAGTAAAAGTAGAGGTATGTGACAATTAATAACTTTTAATCTTTTGTAGGTATTGTTTTTCCCTGAGTTTATTGTACTCGATTACTATATTATTCTCTTAATACGCGAAATCTCTGATATATGCGGTTAAAGCATTTGGGTTAACATATTTCTTAGTGTTCAAGTACTTACATTTGTAAACAGCAGTCAATGTTAATCTATGAACTATATGTGACTGTAAAATCGATCTTTCCTTATGTGGCATTGATGCATGTTTAGCTTTTCGCGGCTGTCGGAATCATCGCGCCTACGTCTGCGGAGTTTACGCAGAAGTGATTCGCAATTCGTTAGAGCTTACCAAAAGTTTTTTTGAGCTTATGTAGTTTAGAATTTGTTCGGTACGGTACGGTACGGTACGGTACGGTACGGAAATTTTGAAATGATTGATAAGTGCGCTAAAACAACTAAATTGAAACAATAGAAAATAGAGCTCAATAGTAAATAAGTAGAATATCTAAGGAGGAAACCAAAATTAATCAACTAGCCAACATAGGCTATCGCATTTATTTTGGTGGCACTCTTTAAGGGGGTATTCCCGATCTTTTTTTTTTCAAAAAATCAATTTTTTTTTTCACGTTTTTTTTTGTACTTTAGACTATATACTTTCATCCCCCCAAGCCGTTTTCCCATCAGCGAATTCGGTGTCCAGGCATAGCTGACTAATGGTTAGAACCCCCAAAATGGTTTTAACTAAAGTCAAAACTTTAAACGCGTTTTTCTCGAAACCACATTTTTTTATCGGGCGAAGATTTTTCTCAGAAACTTTAAGAGATATTGACTTGAATCTTTGCGCATTTT